TCTATATATGCCATGTCCCCTGTGCCAAAATAAGTAAATGAATGAATGAATAAATAAATAAATAAATAAGTAAATGTAAAAAAAGCATTATTCTTAATCATTCTATTTTTGTTTTGTTGAGATGAAATTTTATACACATCAAACCATATTTTTTTCAATATGTTCTTCCCAAGACAGCAAAGTTTGAAATTCATTTGACATATAAGCCATGCCAGGATCTACTGCTGACTCTGAAATACATTGTAGGCACTTAGTAAATACCCCTTAGTTGATTCATTTTGATAAGCAGCACTTGCTCCTGAAGGGGACCTTGCTTTGGGGTAAGTGAGGTTTTGAGCACGTTACAGGTAAGATGAGCCACAGAGATTTTAGAAAATTGATAGCTTCTGCTGCTTGTGAAATTTAGATACATCTTAATGGCAAATAAAATGGTATTGTCGTGTTCTTTAGTACTAATAGAAAGCCAAGCCCGGTTCTCCCTGAATATGGAGCATGGCAAACACATTTCTCTGCATTCAAAAATCAGTGGGCATTCCATGCCTTGTATGATGACAAACAGCTCCAGAGAAGCAAAGCTATCCCATAGCAAAGGTGACGCAACATATTTAGTAACATTTCCAAACTAATAATAACCTTAGTCATCCATTCTATGTAGAGGTGGGCTTTGCGTTTCTTGTGTTGTTCTGAGCTTATTTGACTGTAACAACTTTCACTGGAAATTGAGAGGGAAGCAAAAATAATAAGTCAGCTGTTAATTTAAAAGCAGAGCTGGGCAGAGTTGGAAGGCTGCAGTTTGAGCCTTAGTTGTGCAATGAGTCTTTTGTTTCTCTTTTAAAACTTCATCTATCTTCACTAGTCCATAGACTATAAAAAAGATATTTGTACTATAGGTGACTAGTTAGTTTAATGATTTCTAGCTATTCTTTTTTTAAAATAATTTATTGAGAATTTCATACATGCATATAAGGTGTTTTGATCAAATCCATGCCCACTCCCTCCCCTCCAACTCCTCCCATGTCACCCAATCACTTTTTTCTGATAACTTCATGTACTCCTTCTTCCTCTTTTTTTTCTTTATGGGGCTTTTTGCTACTCTAAAATTCCCCCCTCTGAAGAGGTAACCCTAAAATCTTTTAAGGATTAGCTAAAAGCTCCCAAATGCTTTTGACATTTTTGGCCTTTGGAAAGAAGTATGTTGCTAACAGGCCCAAGGACATTTTGACTTTTAGCCAAGAAACTGGTTACTTTTCTTTGGGGTCATTTTACCCTAACTGCCTAGCCAATTCCTATCTCCTATTCTTATCACACCATCCTCTGAAGAGGTTACCCAAATTGCCAATAGGGAATAAGGACACAGACCACACTGGCATCTTTCATGCTGAACAGGGACACAGGATGAGGCAATTGGGGTACCCCTTCAGTGGGTCTATCAAAAAGACTCCCAGGTTGCATAACTCTTATCTACAGGGGCGAAAGAGAGTTCTTGACTGGTGAATAGGAGATGTGAAGGAGAAGTAAAAGCAAGAGTAATTAGCATTACAAGTTCTAGACAGGGAACTAGAAAAAAGTCAGAACAGGGCAAATTTCAAATGTTTATATGAGGGCCCATTGGAATTTCTTGACAACGGTTTCCAAAAGCATCCCTCTATTGGGTTCCTCCTCATTTTTATTTTGTCTGCCAAGGCTGGACTCAAGAGTGATGGATTCAGGATTTGCTTTCAGGTTTTTGATAGCTGTTGGAGTGGTTAGAATCAGTGTCAGTTCCCTCTCGAGGGCTTCACCATGTGGAGGTTTCATAACAAATCTGCTAGAATGCTTCTAGGTAAATACTATTAACTCTTTATAATGTTATAATGTTACCTTTCTCCTTAAAATTATGTATGCATGTGTGTGTGTGTGTGTGTATGTGTGTGTGTGTGTGTGTATGCACATGTGTGCCTATACATGTAGAGTCCAGAGTTCAACCTTGGCTGTCATTTTTCAGGTACGGTTCATCATGTTTTGTAGACAGAGTCCCTCATTTGGCCTAGAACTCACAAGTGGGCTAGGCTGGTGGGCTAGTGAGTCTCAGGGATCCTTCTGTCTCCAACTCTCCAGCACTAGGATTACAGACGTGTTATCATGCTCAGCTTTTTTTATTTCAAATTTTTGAGAATGTCATACATGAATACATGGTATTTACATCATTTCTGACCCTCCTTTTCCCCTTCAACTATTCTTATCTCCCATCACCCACGTTTCCTTCTCAAATTCATAACTCTTCTTCTATAATTATTGTTATACCTATGCAAATGTTTATAACATACTGAGTCCAATTACTATTGCTCATATGTGTATAGGTTTAGGGCTGACTTAAGCAGGCTTGGGCAGCTATCTGGGGTCTTGTACGTGAAGAAGACTGACTATACCTCTTTCAGCAGGCTTTGGCTGCCTGTACCTCTTCATGGAAGGGTGGAACCTTGTGATTCCCAGCTTGTCTAAGTGGGTTCAAAGGATTGAACTCAGATCCTCAAGCTTGTGTGGCAAGCACTTTACAGACTCAGCTGTCTGCTTAGCCTCACCCTGACCCCCAATTATATCCTTAAGGTTCAGTTTTCTAGAAATTATCTGAGAATTGATGAAAATCAAGTTTTGGAAAGTAACACAGTAATATGCATCCCAAACACCCAGTGCCCAGGATGTGGTGTCATCTCAAGCTCATCTTTACTAGCTTCCACATTCTTTGTCCACTTTTGCAGGTCCTTGGACTTCCTTTGACTTGGTTCATCTTGAATGCTTTCATCCAGTTCAGCACTCTTGGCTACAGCTAAGTGAACAGAGCTGACAGTCTTTCTTGTGTGAGGCCAAGCTCCCTTCAAGACCTGCTTTGGGGTGGGGGGGGTCTCCTGTATAATTATTTCCCACAGATCCTCTCCTCTGCTGTTTAATAACATCATTCTCATGCCATTGCCTCAGTTAAAAACTGGTCATCTTTTCCATCCTCAACATAAAATCAGTCTTTGAATTTCTCCTTATTGAGAAAAACAGCCCTTTCCCAATACCCTCTGAAGCATGCTTGGACCACTGCTGCCTCTATTTCCATGGAAATAGCCTTACAATTCTCCTATGTCTCCCTGCCTCCTGAATTTGCACCCCCCCATCCGTTTTCTTCACTGTGTGCTACCATCAGGAGTTGTCCTCCACACTCAAACACCGCACAAAGTCACTTTTTTGCTTCAATCTTTCTTCCTTGGCTCCCAGTTGATTACAGAGCTAGACCTGTAAGGTAGACTAGGAAACAAGACTGTTGTGTCTTCTGTCCTAGCCACGCAGCACCCTGCCAGATTCCTAGGGAGTCAGCTCTACTTTGCTTGCTTTTTATTCATTTACTGCTTCACACATCCTGGATCATCAAACCTGTGCTTTCCTGCTTTGTTTTCTGTACCCCCCCATTAAAATATAAGCCACAGAAAACAAGGACTTTGTTTTGCTCCTTAGAGTACACTCAGCACACAAAACAGTGCTCCATTGTAGGTGATGAAAAATCATGTTGACTTTGCCAACATATTGTTTCCAGGTTGTGTTCCAAGGCTACCTCTGCGATGAAGATTCCCTCTTCCTGCTCTTAGTAGTGGGATTGTGATAACAAATCTTTTCGATTAGAAAACACATTCAATGTAGTTTTTAATGCTAACATCTTAATTCACACATTTATTCACATATAAATCTCTCTGGCTTATATGAGCTGCTAGACGGCAGAAATACTCCTATCCTAGATGTCTGTCATCTTATCAGTTTATAGTAGACCCTCAAAAAGTGTTCAGCAATGAGTGAGTGAACACGTGATAAATTAGGAAAGAGAAGCAAAGGCCTGGAATCAATCTCTCTCTCTCTCTCTCTCTCTCTCTCTCTCTCTCTCTCCATGCATCAGAAGAATATACACAAAAATCTACCCTACATAATCAAAATGGTCTCTTTGTTTGTGAAAGGTTTCTCTGTAACCCCAGTTGGCCTGGAACTTGCTATGTAGATCAGGCTGGCCTCAATCTCAGAGACACACCTGCCTCTGCCTGCCTGGTGCTCTGATTAAAGGCATGCTCCATCATGCCTGTCCTTCTTTTGGGGATTCTTATGCTGGTAGGTGGTATTGACATTAGATTGACCTTTGTAAAACAGTTTAACAAGATAGTTTGACTCATAAAATCAAATAGATAAGCTGTTAATCTACCAACTTGAGATTTTTATGATGAAAATACTGAGAGATTTCAACCTTTTATGAACTTCTGCCTTTATTACTAAAGGGGTTATATTCTATAAGAATAAAATAAGATCCTAGGGATTTGTGGATATTTTATGGTATATTTCAGATGTTTTTTGGCTTCAGGAACATCAACAAATATAAAGAGGTTTCTCCAAGTGCAATTTCATTTTCATATGTGTCTGTGCAGAAGAGAGGAAGGGAGAAAACAATAGCTCCTTTGTTTATCTGTGACTCTTTTCAGATATGGTACATGATGCCCAGGCCCAGGTTTCAGTTTGGATGAACCCATTTCTCAGGCCCACATTTAAGACATTGACTGCTATTTGTATTGATCAGATGGCCCAGGGAAGCCAATAACTGTCTTGTCAGTTGTTAAAAACTATTTGTGGTTGGCATGCCTCAGGATGGGCAGAGCTAACAAAAGCACAGATAGTAAGTTGACAGCATCAAAATTCCTTTAAGAAATAAAATTATGGGGGCTGGAGAGATGGCTCAGCAGTTAAGAACACTGGTTATTCTTGCAGAAGACCTCGTTCAAATCCCAGTACCCACATGACAGCTAACAATTGTCCGTAACTCCAGTTCTAGGGGATCCGACGGCCTCCTTTTTCCTCTGCGGGCATTGCATGACACAGGTGCACTTACCTACATGCAGGCAATACACACATACACATAAAATAAAAATAATAAAAATATTTTTAAAAAAGAAACAAAATTAGGAAATTACAGTGTAAAAGAACACATAAGAACTAGACACCTCAAGCATGTAATTGTATATTTATTTCTCTTTTTAAAGAACACTCCTTAACGTAATTCAATATACAAACTTGGTTTCACAGAATTATAATCCACTATATAGCACAAAGATAACCCAGATTATGTGTGTGCATGCACACCCTTGTGCGTGTGTGTGCACATGTTGCTATACCCCTCCCTCTGCTCCATTCTTCTGGACCTACAAAGGCTCTTTCCACCTTCAACACTTATCAAAGTCATTCTGAAGGTTATATACAAAAGACATCATCTTCCCAAGAGTTCCTTTCCCTCGAAGGCTTCTCTTCATTCCCCCTGAGACAGCCAGGAGTGACACTTTCCCTGTACAAAAAGGTAAGGTGATTTCCCCTAGTGCTGATGTTAACCCTGTTACCTTGTGGACAGGCTGATGGGAAGAGCTGGGGAGCAGGTCTCCAACACCATTTCCCACTTCCACACCCAACCCTCAAGTCCAAGTGCGACCCCTCTGTGTAGCCCTAGTTCCAGTCACTATTCTGTGCAGCAAGAACCAAGATTATTTTAAGCCCAGGTCTTCTCCACAGGCAGTGCACAGCACTACCTACCAAGCCACCGGGCCGGCCGATAACCAAGCTCTACATAGTCCCATGTGCTTTGTCACTTTAATATTTAAAGACACTCTACCATAGGTCTGTGGCAACCTAGTGTCCAACTGAGTTACATAAAACTGTACCAGTGGTGCGCTTGTACATATTTACAGGGGGCGGAATGTTTTTCCCATATTTTTAGATGAGTATATAGATCAACATGTTCACGTAAGACCAAATACTTTTAATATTATTTATAACTGATTTATAAAGCTTTGAAAAAACTCACAATAGCACATTGTTTACTTTAATGCTTTACGGTACTATCCGTTTAAAATCACAATCAGCACTTAAGTTACTGTCAATCCAGCGAACAAGAGACAAAAAGAATTTACAAGTTAAGAACTGACTGATACATCCTTTACCTTTTTTGTAACTAATGCATAAGTGCAGAATAAGATACTCTAGCTTAAATATCTTGCTTACAATGTACATTTTTTGTTCTAGTTATGCAACAGTAAACCCCATGCTTCACATAGAAAAGCAATCCACAACATTAAGAAAAAATGTACAATTTATGAAACAAAGTAAATAAATATTAGTATTACAGAATCAGAGCTGTACATAAAAGCTGTTCAGTTTTTATCATATAAAAATATGTTTTAGTGCAACCTCACATATATATTGATGCTGTTTTCCTTTACATCATTTAGATCCAAGTGTCCAAAAGGGGAAAGAAATTACATTTATTACAAAGCAGATACACAAATTCTAAAATATGTACAAATTACTGCTAAAAAATGCTTATAAGAATATAAGCAAAGTAAAGAAAAGGCACAAACATCTGTACAATTTTTAAAAGTACCAGACCCAATAGGTTAATTTCAAATTTTGTTTTGGTCAGGCTCAAGATGACTCGTTAATTTACCTAATTCTTTCAAAATAACAAAAGTATATATAATAGCCAACTACTGTAACTTAGGACAGGCATGCTATAAACTCGATTACCTCTATTCCTAGAAAAACAACAAAAAAGGGGGAAATGTGTAAATGAAAGTGTCCATGCATCTCAGATCAGTGTAGTTGATTCTTTTCCGAAGGTTCGGTGCCTTCTTCTGTGCTTGACGATAGCTCCTTGCTGCTGTGAAATTCTGCCTGCTTCTCATCCACACGACTCTTGCTGTAAAACGTGGAGTGAGCTCCCGCAGTCTGTGATGTACCCAAACTGTCCTTCTCACTACTGTGCAAGTCAGGGTGGGCAGCTGAGGTACAGGGTTGACCTGGCTCAGGCCCGCTAAAGTGTCTAATGCTGACATGTGCACTTTCCAAGGGTTTCTGGTGGGGCTCCGGCACCCACGAGGGCTGATCGGCTCCAAGCAGTGCTGCCTCTTCTGTGGCAATCCGGAGAGAGGCGATGGCTTTTGTACAGGTCTGTATATTTTCCTCCTGTTCCCTCTCTGTAGCATTTAGGCTGTCTTCTGAAGTGCTCTGTTTCATCAGCAGCCGTGGGGAGGAGGGAGAGCTAGGTAGACCAGATGACTGCAACACGTGAGGGGCTCGCTTCTCATGCTGCCTGGCGAGAGGGTAGGGATCCTTGGTGAAGGCCTCCCTCGGTGCTCCTTTCTTCTCTTCAGATCCCTCCATGGGCAGAGGCAATGTGGGTGGAGGATGTAAACCAGAAAGGGCCGGCGGTATGGAGTGAACCATTTGGATCCCACCCACTGGCACCATGGGGATAGGAGCTCGCACTTGCTGCTGAGAGTGGAGTGGAAGATGACTGAAGACCGAGTCTGTAGGACCCTCAGGGAAAAGGCTGGAGCCGTGATGTTCATAAGCACCTTCTTGATCTCCGTAGAGACTGAAGTAAGGAACCTGAGGTAATCCTCTTCTTAAATTCTGTACAGAGAAACAGAGCACCAAGTTCACAACCCAGCACTATTCTTCTCACGTCAAGATTCCTCCCTGCCCCCTTCCCCAGACTCAGGACCTAGGCAGGATTCACTACCTAACCCATTACAACTTTCCATTTCTCAAAACAAGAAATTTCTCAGTTGTCTTTTCCAAGCCTTGAATGGAGGTGTGGGTGTGTGAACAGTGACTTTTGTTTTTCAAGGGCAAAGTGCTAAAGCATTCAGTGTCTTTCCTGCTAGATACAGACACACATTTTGGTTGTTTTCTTCATAAAAGCAAATGAAAAGAACGGATTAGCACCAGGAAAACTTTATTAAGCAAAAACCACTAGTAAACACTGATGAGATTTTTAAATAAAAGGGAAATAGGATGCCATCTGTTTATGTATTAGTCTGAGTTGAAAGATTTTTCTAAGAGTTGGTAGGAGTGACAAGTTGACAACAGGCTTTTAAGAAAATTTTTTTTTCCACAAAAAGGATGATTATGAGAATTCACAAACTGTTTCCTTTGTTGGAGAGGTCTAACAAAGAACACAAGATTCTTCAAGTCCTGGTTCAAGGCTGTTTAAACCTTACAGCGATAGCAGTGTTGGAATGAATCTATTCACCTAGAGTTGTTAACCATCATATTTGTTTAAGAGTTAACGATTTATTAAATTTCATAGCTGGGAATCAAAGATGATCATGCCTTAATTCCTTAGATGATATTACTTATGATATAAATGTCTTCTTGGAAATCAATGAAGTAAAGGATACTTAAAATTTGGGGCAAGAATTCCAGGATTTTAGTATTGAGAATGAATTTATTTTCTCCACTTGTTTCTGTGGCAGAACACAACTTAAGGCTGCCAGATTATCAGACTTTAATGAGATTATCAGAGTTTTAATTAATGTGACTCATTAATAAGGGGCTCCACTGGTTTTTGTATGTTTTTTTGAGATATTAAAATAGATTAAAAACTTATCAAGTATGGCAGTAATTTATGAGATCTTTTTCTTTAAAGTTCCAATTCATCTCTATGATACTTCAGTTCTAAAATTCAAGTCCTGACTCCTACCACTAACGATTTACCCAGTTCTGTTTAGGTTGGAGCCTTGCTCCAGAGAAATCGTGCATTACACCTGATTTATCTGTCATGCTTGGCACTTACCCTCCTCTGGGCTATACCTTATTCAAGCTACAACAAATGATTTATTGTGGAAGTGCAAATGAAATGGTATAATCTCCAACCCCAGAATCACCAGGACTTCCTAAGCTGGGAAAGGTAGGAATCTTAGGGCTCAAGGAAGAACTTCTTAAATGCTATGCACACATAAATCGTTCTTGTTTTCACTCTGGTTTAGAAAAGGGCAAGTGTTCATCAGACACCAGGTAAGGTCGAAGAACTCACATGCCCACGATAATCATCTTTGAAGAAAATGAATCATTTTAAAATCATAGTTGTTATAGATTTTAAAATTTAAAATAAAATATAACTTGGTTATTTTTCTATTTTACTTTTGTCTGTTATTTCATGATAGCCTCTGTGTACAGCTCATGAGAACGCACACTGTACTGGTGTGCTGAGGAAGGAGCTGGCAGAAGGCCCTGGGAGGCACGTGCTAACACACAAAGCCTCTTGAGATCTCTGACTCCAGGATGACACGAAAGTGATGAATCAGTCTCTAAAACTAGCACACCTATCCCATCCTAAATCCAATAAAATTTTGTGTTGGCCATATAAGTTTTGGGTTCAGACTTCATTGATGTGAACTTCAGTGACTACAACGTGGAAGTAAATACACAAATGTGTTTTTGTTTCGTTTTGTTTTTTGGCTACTTGGGCCTTATAATACGGTGGACACACTCCATCTCATTTAAATCTCTGTAAGAAAACAGCAAATGCTCAAATGCTGAGCTTCACTGTGCATCATGGGAGGAATATATATATATATATAAAATCTCACAATCATACTATTACACATCCTTATACACATATACATTCTAGGTACCAGATCTATCACCCTACTCGTGTGGGAGATCCAAGCTTCATAGGGACAGCTGGGAGCAGGAGGAAATGGCAGGCGGGACAAAAGAAAGGGGGCTACCAAGCACAAGTCCTTCCTTGTAAAGACCCTGTCCTAAATGTGCAAACACGGGGGACGGGGGGGCTTGGTGTGTTTCCTTTTAGGACAGACATATCTATGGCCCACCTCCGTGACTACCGCAGACTTAAGAACAGAGGCCAAGAGGCAAAGCAACCTGTCTAAGACCAGACAAACGAGGAGTGATTGAAGCCTGACTGTTTCACTAAAGAAAATCGTAATCTACACTACACACTGAGGATCTGGACTCCTCTGTCATTTTCTTTTTATCTACAAAGATTTGAAGATGGAAACAGACATGTATATATATTTTTTTAGATGATTAAGGCGAGAACTGTAATACTATTTTCCCTTCACTGAGCCATACATAGAACGTAAGAGTATTTATCCTAAGAATGAATGCCAGGGACTACTAGATTTTATTATCTATCTTAAAACGAAGGGCAGAAATAATAGGGTGCTAAGAATCCTAGTGGTACATGCTGCCCCCTCTAAGTCTTCCTGGCCCTAAGTCCAGACTAAACCAGATAATTAGTATATCACACTGAGCTCCAGGGTACCGCCACACCACAAATCACTGCCCTGTGAAGCCTTCATCAGTGTTTGCAAAATGACAATGTATTGTGAACAGAATTTCTGTGAAAAAGGACTATGCTTAGCAATATCCAGTTGAAGTTTTCATGATTATTGGAGAGGCTGAAGCCTTCATCTGAAAGATCAGGAGAAACACCTCTCAGAGCATGGGTAGGTCTATTTTGTTCTGAGTAGGAGAAGAGAATCTCATTCACATATCACAGACATTAAAGTGGGATGAGTCAGCGTAAATGATGACTCAAAACCACTGCTCTTGCTTGGGCCCTGGCTGTGCTCTCTAGTATCATGAGAACAAACAGCAGGTGACACATTTTCTAAAGAGAATTGGACTGGGTAGTAGGCCAAAGGCTTCCAGTGGGGAAGTTTAACAGCTATGTTAAACATCCAGTTGAGCTGGCATTTAAAAAAGAAACAGCAGCAAAATAAAACAAACAAGCGGAACCCCCAAAAATTGGTGCAAATTCAATAACAAAACTATTTTTTCCCAACAGCTTTCTAGTCAATCACAGATTCAAAAGGAGATTAATTCTTTTACTACCTTATTCCTCTGCTTGAGCTGTCATAATTTTTTAAGCAACAACAGCACATGTTTAACAGTATGCTAACTCAGTGACTCTGTTTTCATGATGCACTGGCTTGAATGGGCTCCGCCAGCCTCACACGGGTCAGCTGCCACCCACCTGACCAATACCTAAATAAAAGCTCCAAGGATGGTGGGGCATGGCTGGTCTAGTGCTCTCTGCCAGTATCACCACATCTTTATTAGAGGAGGCAGTTGATACTTAGTCCAGACCTACTATCAGACAACTGGAGGGATTTCCAGCTTCCTATTCATGCTACAATGGCTTACCCTGGCTGTACAAGACTCCTCTTTTTGACTATTGCCAAGAACAAAATCTACGGACACGTAGCTCTTTTTCTTAGCTTGTTAATTTATTAGCTTGGCAAATAAGTTATATCCAGATTGCTGGGTATGTCTCTGCAGGACTGCACCATTAAGATGAACTTGGTACCCGGCTTATGAAACAAAGCAAGAGGATGTATGGGGGAACTGGGGAGCTTTCCTGAAGTCTGAAATTGACAACCTGGGCTTATGATTCAAGGTGGCAGTCGGTAGGTGACGAGAGGAGGGAACTGGCCCTGAAAGCAGGGATAGACAGAGCTGGGAGGAGGCGGGGCTTCCTAGGCCTGGGGAACACTGTGCTGCTGTCAAGCAGACTCCAGAGCTAAGAGACAACAAAGCCACATTTAAAGCAAACTAACTCAAAAAGTAGCATGCCTGTCTGTGCTCTCTGCCTGCCTTACTCACTTTTGAAAATCTTACCCAATGGAAAGACACCTATGGCTTTCTATTAAACCTGTGGTTCCATAATCACTACTGCCACATCTTAGTTTATAGTAAAGGCTACACTAGAAACCGCAGAACATTCTCCCTGAGCTCCCTGACTGCTTATTCTCTGGGCCTGCATTCTCACTCAGCATATACCAGGTGGTAACAGCAAGAAATGCGGACAATTTAAGTCTTCGGTTTCTAAATACTAGAGTGTCACATTCCTTTTCCAGTTCCGAGCAGTTTCACATGTCTGCCGACATTGGGCAATGTAATGAGTATGTTTTAAAAACATTTTGGAAGTCAAGGAGTATGACGGGCTGAGTCCTTACCTGGTTTAGAGTATATTTCACCAATACCCAAAGGTCCTTGATTGTTTGTCTATGCAGGCATGACATTCCCAAGGACTTCACCTAAAAGTTTTGACTCATGTTTATAATGGTCAACCTTAGAAAACCTTCAGAAGGCTTCCCCTGTTCCCAGCTGGAAGTATATTCCTGCTCTGATGCAATGTTACACTTAAAGTAATGCCACAGCTGTGTTACTAACACAGCCTATGATAAAAATGTCTTCCTGGGGCTAGAGAGATGGCTCAACCATTAAGAGCACTGGCTGCTCTCAAAGAGAACTCAGGTTCAGTTCTTAACACCCACATAGCTGCTAACAACCATTCATAAATCCAGTTCCAGGAAGTCTGACATCCACTTCTGGCCCCTGTGGGCACTGTACATATGGGTGTGCTTACATACATGCAGGTAAAACACTCATACATATAAAATAGAAATTGATTCATTAATTGAAAAAGTCTTCCTGCTATGTTCAGTAACCAGGTTCTCTCCAGATTGAGAGATACCCATTTTATAATAAATGCCTCAATTGTGTTATCAGGAGGTGCCAATGTACTGCAGCTTATGTGGAAAGAGAACACGAGTTATACTTACAGGAGGCCCCAATACAATTGGCTCTGTGTGCAGATACTGCCCCATGGACAATGGTGGGTTATGATATAAAGCCCTTCTAGGAGATGGTGCTCTGATGGAGGTCATGTATCTTCTCTCTCTTCTGGGAGAGAGGTCTCTTCTGGCCGAAATGTCTTTTCCAGGAGACAATGGCCTCCTTGGGGACAAATGCCTTCTTGGTGAAGCATCTCCTTGGGACATCTCTCTCCTCAATGCAGCTTCCTTTCTTGGTGACAGATGCCTCATGGGTGACAGATCTCTCCTAGGTGATAAATGTCTTCTGGGTGACAAATCTCCTTTGGGTATCAGATACCTCTTTGGCGAATTTTCTCGACAAGGTGAAGAATCATATCCTGGTGAGGAGTGGTGGCTTGAGGGGGAAAAGTCCCTCGGGGAGGAGCTCTGCTCTGAAGACAGCATGGCCTCCTCATCCATGCAACTGGGGATGTCCAACCTGTCTTTGTCTGGTTCTGAGTCTGTACTTTTGCTCTGGAACAGCCTTTGATATTCTGTCATCTGGGTATCTTCACAAGACTCACTGGGTGTCATGAGCTGAGTAACCTGAATACTTGGCAAAGTAACCAAATAGCTAATCAACGAAGAATGTCCCAGGGAGCTTTCTGAAGGAACTCCATGGGGTACAGCGCCAACATTGACAGGCAAGGAGGAGAATCTAGGAGGCTGAGGACTAGTGCTTCGTGATCTTGTTTTGGGTGTCAAATCTCCCTGGTCATCAAAGTCATCATCATCTTCATCATCATCATCATTATCATCTCCATCTTCACCATCTGATTCCTCAGCATCTGAGAACTGGTGATCAGTTGAAATGCTGGACATGCTATGCTTCTCTGACGTTTTGTGCAGATCTTCCATATTTTCTGAAATAATCCAACAATAATGACAGTGATAAAAACCTAAACATTGAGGCTAAGAGCTAATATGGGCTCCATCTCTTTCCACAATCCTTCCTTCACCCACAGGACCCCTGAAGACAATCATGCATCTGAACTCTTATAGCTTTCCCCAGGCACTTACCTGACCCTACATTGGTTCTAATCTTTTTATGTATCTACTGGGTTTCATCCTTGAGAACTCCAGAATAGGATCTATATTTCAGACTTCAGAGATGTCTTATTTGAAAACACTAAACAAATGGATGTGGATAATGTTACTAATGATTGACACCAGAGAGAAAAGAAAAGCAACAACCTGTCTCTCCGAGTTCAAGTGCAAACATTCATAAGTGGTCTATTACAGGTGGTTTGACTGACACCTAGATTCTCTGCTGAGGTTAACAATGGATATTTTCTACTAGGGTTCCTCTTAATAGGAACACTAACATATGAAGATGCTTTTTAAATTTCCCCAAAAGCTTCACAATCATGTATCAAACTTCACAGTTTTAGATAAAATATTTTTAGATAAAAATATTTTTTCTATTAAGCCTTCTCTCCCCTGCCAAAAGTTACACCCAAAATGCCTTTATTTTCTCTCAGTAGATTTCAGACAATTCAATGTGTCACTTTTATTTTCTGCAGTGAGTATTTAATGAGATGAAAAGTAATTGCTGGGCCATAAAGCTCCAGTATACATACTGAAGAAGTCAGTCAAGGTACACACCTGTTTCCTCAGTCTCTGTGTCATCCACTGATGTCATTGAGACGCCCAGCTCCAGACATTTTTTCATGTGTGCTTTAGATTTCATGTGTTTTGTTAGGTTTCCTAGAAAATACAACCAATAAAAGAAGAGAAATGAACAGGATGTCAAACTCTATTGATTGCTGCGGGTTGTGTGGAATGGCTAATCTGGAGCAGCATATACTTGTTTTTATCATCCCTCACTCCAACCTTAAGATGAACAATCCAATTTCTAAACATCAGTCCCTGAGAGCTTTGGCTCAGAAAACTCAGAAAACTCAGGTTTTCTTTAGCCTAGAAGTCATGTGGAAGTCCAGGGCCAGGTGTTTTTATGAGTAGACAGACTTGGAATTCTAGGCTTTCCTGCCCAAAAAGTGATCTAGTATCTATGGAAATGGCCAATCATTCAGAATCCCACATTAACAAGGCAACACACCTGGGAGAAATTTCAAAATGAAATATTCTCACTATAATCCAAGGGCCCCAGAGACCTTTTTGTATTGATCAGAAACAGATCAGGATCCAAGAATCCTCCCCGGTCAGAAGAAAAAGCCACCCACAGAAACCATTCCTACTGTTTAGTATCTCTCTGTTAGACAATGGTAGCACATTTTCTAAGAGCAATTTCTCAAATTCTGAACCACCCATACATTTTAATAATGATGATAAATATATTTATATATATACACACATATATGTGCACATATAACTATCCATAGCTATGGCTAAATTTACATTTCTGTAGACATATATAATTACTATATGCATATGAGGAAAAATTTTAAATATAGATCCAATCACCCCTGATCTAGAATCTATGGAAGGAAAAGGAGATAAATATATGAATATATACATATATATTTCTTTACCATAAAACTTATCAAAAGAGAGTCAGGGATTCAGGTGTATGGAGCCTATACATTCACTTTGATGAAATGTACATGTCTGTTTCAATGTTACTGTCTTGACAATGTATTAACAGTATATCAACACATGCCTTATCATTAAGCACAGGCTTCCAGAAGTCTAGGTAGAAACTCAGCCTGTTGAAAGTTTCTTTGTCCCTTCTTCTAGGGCTGTCTGTGTAGCTTAATATTAGTTCAATAAATGTCACAATTTATTATTTTATTTACTTTATTATTAATTTATTGCTTATATATCTAATAATT